ATTTAGTATATTTTTGTCCAAGGATTGAAATTTGGAAAAAGGAGACGCATTAGTGGAAATTAGAAAGGCTACGTTTCATTTTCTCCGGGAAGTCTCTCCCCAGCACTCTAATTTCATAGACTTTTTGCAATAGAAAAGTGAAAAGGAAAGAAATGGGCCTGTTGGATAGAGAAGCATATCCAAGCTTGTTGGGATACTCTCTAGTATTGGCTCATCATCATCCAACCCTCCTGCTACCTTGTGAATTTGTTTTGTCCAGTGCATTGGTGAATTCAAGAGTTAACTTAAGGTGGTGTAAAATGTTGATGCCGATAAATTTTTAAACCAACGGTTCCTACTCCTTCGAAATTACTTGGACAACTAAGATATTTCTCATTGCATAAGATTATTGTTTAATGGCGTTTGACGGGTTGTCTTCGGAGTTAACCACAAAGTCATATACTACATGCCAAGAAAGACTCAAATTCCTAAAGGTCTTGCAAAATTCTAAAAACCGGAACCAAACAATAGTTGCATCATTCTGACTAGTTTGAGAGAGTATATAGAGGAGGATTCAATATTGAGGATGAAACTTTCAAGTATGTAATGAAGTATTGGGTAAAGATAAGGCTTAATTGCAAGTTTGGTCACTCGAATTGCTTAAAAATTTCACGTTTGCCACCCGAATTGATTTATTCCATTTATAGTCACTCGAATTGGTTGAACAGTCCAAGTATGGTCACTCTCCGTTAACCTCCGTTAACCTCCGTTAATGACGACCGTTAAATGCTGACGTGGCTAACAGAAAGACACAGTCAACACATTTAAACATTAAAAAAAGACAACCCGACCCGACCCGACCCGCCAGCTCACCCTTACCCGCCCAGTCATCCATTCTTGCCCAAACCCACGAACCAGACCCAATTAACTGACCCTAAACCAAACTAGTGACCTAACCCCCCTGAAAACTAAATCGCAGACCCAATTAGGGCAGTTCCCTTCCTCTCCATCTTCATCCTCCCGGCCGCCTCTCTACTTTGCACAATCAGTTTCCTTTGCTTCCATGGATGGCGAGTCTCCTCTACCACTAGTCCCCTCGAATCCATTCCTGACCGATCGACGACTCTTCTTCCGCCAGTCTCTCGCGCTGAACATCGCTCGAACACAAGAACTTCATGCTATCCTCTAGTCCACTCTGGCGGCGGCAGAGTTCAAGAGTAAAAGCACGAGGTGTTTGCGAGCTTCAGCGGAGAAAGACAATCGCAGGGGATTTCTGTCCTTCTACAAGGACGAAATCAGACTCCACCAAGGCGCATCCATCATCGAGCGGAGTTTCGGCAAGCCATCTAGGGTTTCAGAATCGGCGGTCTTCGTGAACTACGCCCGATTCCACCTGGTGTCTCTCGACGAGCTGCTTCACATCCTCCGTCGCGGGAAATCGAGAAGCCGTCATCATTCCGATTTTCTTCGATGTGGATCCAATCTGATTTCAGGAAACAGAAAGAGAGGAAGAAGTCGTAGCTCCGCCGAAGTCTTCCCCCGCGACGATAAGGTGCGGAGGAGATCGGAGAGATGATACTTCGACGGAAGTCGCTAATCTCCCGGATTCGCCACCGTTCACTACGGGTAATTCGATGTTGATTAACTGCGCTCAATGACCTAATTTCCCCTATCGACGAAGGGCTGACTGGGCGGGTAAGGGTGAGCTGGCGGGTCGGGTCGGGTCGGGTTGTCTTTTTTTAATGTTTAAATGTGCTGACTGTGTCTTTCTGTTAGCCACGTCAGCATTTAACGGTCGTCATTAACGGAGGTTAACGGAGGTTAACGGAGAGTGACCATACTTGGACTGTTCAACCAATTCGAGTGACTATAAATGGAATAAATCAATTCGGGTGGCAAACGTGAAATTTTTAAGCAATTCGAGTGACCAAACTTGCAATTAAGCCGTAAAGATAATGAATCCTCAACCCTCACTTGTTTTAAGACCAACTCCAACCCATTCACCTAAATTGAGGCTCGAAAAATTGAGTCCCATTATACTAGGGGTGGGCAACCGGTTCGGTAAACCCGAATCGAACCGAAACCAAATTAAACCTAACCGAAATCGAAATAATACTATTCGATTCGGAAGAGAAATATGGATATTTCGAAAATCAAGGTTCTTTCAACCGAACCGAATTTACGAATTTCCAACCGAAAAATCGAAATATTATAATTGTAAGCTTCAAATGGTGGATTTTTATGTTTGTAGTTGTTTTTAGACATAAGCATTTGAAATATTATATGACTTATGTGTTGAAAAGTTTGATTTTTCATTGATGATGCATATAATTACATATTTATTGTTTATATTAGGGGTGAAAAATAATTTGAAAGTGAGAAGATACAAGTAGCCTTACAAATTCGGTTTTGTGTGAAAAACCGAACCGAATTATAATTCGGTTCGAATTCGGTTTGAAGTTTGGGAGAATTCGGAGACCCGGTATTCATAATTTCGGTTTGGTCGAAACCGAACCGACCGAATGCCCACCCCTACATTATACCCCTTGTCTTGTGCCGTTTGACTAGTTTAGTACCGTATTTGGAGCCATTTACACTATGTTTGGTCTTGTTTTGGCATGTTTAAGAATTAAGACTTTAGCAGGTAGAATGGGTGAGAGGATCGAAAGTCCGACAAAAGGGATCGAAAAGGGATCAAAACTAAGGAAAGTGCAAGGATCACGGTTTGGCGGCAAGATCATGGGCAGGAGCATGTTCCAGGAGCCGTGAAGATTGCAAAGTTCTAGGAGCTTCAAGCCTCGTGAGCATTGCAAAGATCACTATCCCAGACCGTGAAGTCAGCAGAAAAATCATGAAGTGTATTAATGAAACGACGCACATTGCGCTGAGATCAAGGTTTTGTTACACACTTCACGGGGGTGATGTGCACCCGTGAAATATGCACTCACAAGCTATATAAAGGAGAGTGAGCAGAATTTCAAGTGGGAGTTCTACAGAGAGAATTTGGAGATCTTTTTCCACAACCTAGAGAGAGCTATGAGCAAAGTATAATTGATGGTGAATTTGACCTACCAAGCCATTTGGTGGCTAGATTTCATCTCCAAGCATCCTTCCGAGCAACTAGGAAGAAGGAGAACCAAGTTTCCATGGGTTTTTCCTCTTTCCCGATTGTTGTTCTTTCTCTAGCTATAACGTAGTTTCTCTATTCACTTGGATAATGTATACCCTAGTCTAGAATGTTGTAGATTGATGTTTGTGAACTTTTTGTGTTGATGGGTATTGTTGATTATAAATTGATTGACGTATCTTCATGCAAATTGAGTGTTCTTGTGGCAAATTGACCTAGAAGGGAGAAGATCTCCTTATGGCAATTAGGGTCACTACTACTCAATCAACGTAGAGTGTCATGAATCACTATGATTGGTAACTATGTCTTTCCGGGTTAATCTCCAAGGGAGTGGAATTGGTTACCTTAGTCGTTTTTTTCTGCAATGTGTTACCCCCCTCTGATTAGACCGATTAAGCAGGATAGGATGCACTCGAATAGAGGGTCTAGCTATTTTAGATTTATAACGGTATATAAACTTGTCTATCGTACTAGAGTATCACATTCTCATCTCGACACTGGACTAGGGGGATAATCATCTGAGTGAAGTTTTCTCACTTGAATTAAACATCATTTTATTTGTTTGCTTGTTTAGTTAAATAGCTTTAAACAACGTTTCGATTCCTAGATACATTGTAAATTGTTGAAGTAAGGATATATATAGATCGCCTGGGTTTGATCATTGAAATACTTGCTCTATACTGCACCTAGTTATAGGTTATACTTGGCCTATGATTGGGATTTAGTAGTTAGTAGCGAGCCAGGTCTAAGGGGAGTGGATTGTTGAGGGTACCACTAGTGCTTAACAAGAAGTTTAGTATTTTGTTATGTTAGTTCGATTAGAGTTTCGAGTCAGAGTCTATATAATGTACTTGAGTCCTAGCGTTAGGAAAATCAATGAAACCTATAAAAAACATCGCCAATTATCCCTCCGCTCTCTAATTTTTTTCCAAAAACCTTAATTCCCAACTCTAAATCACCCGATTCTGCCCAATTCTCATCTCAACCAATCAAATTATTTTTTCTTCTAAACTCTATCTTATTACGTCAATCTGGGGCCAAGATCCGTACCTACAACACTAAACAATCAAGAATTTTGATCAAAGTTAAAAGAGTAAATTCTCATTTGCTGATTGCCAAACTTTTACTAAAAGAAAATTTGGGAAACCTTTGATGTTATATGATGCCACACACACACAGCGCCATCTCCACTTAGCTTCAGTTTCATTTTGAAAGAAGAAAGTAGCAGAGCATTGCAGCAAACCTTTCAAAAAGGAAAACAGGATCAATCAATCCCATCAATTCAAATCATTCTACCTCTCTTTCCGTTTTCATCCCCCGTTCTTATCCGATCCACAATAACGTAAAGAGGAACGGTGCGAACCTCTCTCACTGCAAAATATAATTTTTTTCGCCAATTCCTTAACTCTGCCTCATTGTCTCGTCTTTTCCAGGGCCGGAGTCGCAGCAGGTCAGGTCAGTCGGTCGTCAATCTTTCTGCTTGTCTCCGCGATGTTCTTTGATTATATTCCTCGATTTTGTTCTCGTAGAGCATTGTGATCTGTGCCTCAGTTCGATCTTCTGATTGACGAACGACTTACAATGCAGAAATCCTCCGAGTTCCCCAGTTCGCGTTCTACGGGAGGAAATCATCTGTTCTTTCTTTTTTCCTTGATTACGGAGGATTTCTCACTGGCTTTCCGCTTTCCCGTCTGTTCTTTCACAAATCAAATCTTGCCAATAGCACAGCCATGGCTGGTTTCAGGTTTTCTTTTGTATTAATTAATTCATTGATTTATTGGTGATATTCTATTCGCATCACAAGTTGATTCAGTGACTGATGTCGGTGTGGAAAACATGGCGCAGGAATCTCTAAAATCGAGGAGTGAAGAATTGTAGATTTTCTATCGAAGAGATGATGTCGAGATCGTACACGAATTTACTGGACCTGGCCAAGGGGAATTTTCAGAACATCAATCCTGAGAGGAAGGGATTGTCGAGGGTTATGAGCGTTCCTGGCAAGTTCTCGGACATGGAAGACGACGATGAGCCCGCTTCCTCTGACAATCCCTCCACATTGTCTGTGGACAGGATGATCATCGTCTCGAACCAGCTCCCCGTGAAGGCTGTCAGGAATCCTGATGACCAAGGCTGGAGTTTCGCCTGGAACGAGGATTCCCTGGTTCTGCAGCTCAAGGATGGTTTCTCTGAAGACATGGAGGTTTTCTATGTCGGTTCTTTGAATGTCGAAGTCGATTCCAAGGACCAGGATGAAGTGTCTCAGGTTCTGCTAGACAGGTTCAAGTGTGTGCCGACATTCCTCCCGCGCGACATTTACACCAAGTTCTATGATGGTTTCTGCAAGAAGCAGCTCTGGCCACTCTTCCATTACATGCTGCCTCCTGTTGAGGAAGGCAGCAGATTCGACAGGTCCTTGTGGGAGGCTTACGTAGCAGCAAACAGGTTGTTCTCACAGAAAGTGGTTGAGATTCTCAACCCAGAAGATGATTTCATCTGGATTCACGATTACCATCTGATGGTGCTGCCAACTTACTTGAGGAGGCGGTTTAACAGAATCCGGATGGGTTTTTTCCTTCACAGCCCGTTCCCTTCGTCTGAGATCTACAGGACCCTTCCTGTGAGGGAAGAGATACTCAAGGCATTGCTCAATACCGATCTAATTGGGTTCCATACTTTTGATTATGCTCGACATTTTCTTTCCTGTTGCTGTCGGATGCTGGGTCTCGAGTATCAGTCCAAGAGGGGATACCTTGCACTGGAATATTATGGAAGGACCATTGGTATCAAGATTATGCCAGTTGGGGTTCATATGGGTCGAATTCTTTCGGTAATGAAACAAACTGATAAGGAGTCTTGGATTTCTGAGCTGAAAAAGCGGTACCAAGGTAAAACTGTGTTGCTTGGTGTGGATGATATGGATGTCTTCAAAGGGATCAATCTGAAACTGTTGGCTATGGAGCAGATGCTCAGGCAGCACCCTATCTGGCAGGGAAAGGCTGTGTTGGTTCAAATAGTAAACCCTGCAAGAGGCAACGGGATTGATTTGGAGGATATAAGAACTGAAATACAAGATAGCTGCAAGAGGATCAATGGCCTATTTCGAATGCCTGGCTATGAACCAATAGTGATTGTTGATACTCCAATCTCAGTGGGCGAGCGAGTTGCTTACCACAGCATTGCTGAATGTGTCGTTGTTACAGCAGTGAGAGATGGCATGAATCTCACACCGTATGAGTACATAGTCTGTAGACAAGGCAGTGATACATGTACAAACTTCCATGGGTTGAAGAAGAGCATGTTAGTGATATCAGAGTTCATCGGTTGTTCTCCATCGTTGAGCGGTGCAATTCGTATCAACCCTTGGAACGTCGAGGCAACAGGCGAGGCAATGAACCAAGCAATTTCAACTTCCGACTCCGAACAACAGTTGCGACATGAAAAGCATTATCGGTACATCAGCACTCATGATGTTGCTTATTGGTCGAGGAGTTTCTTGCATGACCTGAAGAGAAATTGTGCTGATCATAACAGAAAAATGTGCTGGGGGATAGGATTTGGGTTTGGTTTCAGAGTGATGGCTCTTGATCCCAATTTCAGAAAGCTGTCTGGAGCTGTTATTGTTTCGGCATACAAGATGGCAAAGAGTAGAGCAATACTGTTGGACTATGATGGTACTGTGATGCATCAAAACGCCATCAACAAATCGCCGACTCAGGAAGTGATCTCCATCCTCAACAGACTCTGCGATGACCCAAACAACACAGTTTTCATTGTCAGCGGCCGAGGGAGGGACAGCTTGGCTGAGTGGTTTTCTCCTTGTAAGAAGCTTGGTATTGCTGCCGAACACGGCTACTTCCTGAGGTCTTCTTCGTCCCTTGTATCTTTTTGTATGTTAAGCTGCGTATTTATCTATCATCAGAAAACAAGAAGGCCAACCAATAGCATCAGCGTTAACTACACTTGGTTCCATTCCATTATGCAGCGATTTCATTAGAGCTTTCAGGATAATTTTGCAGAATTGACAGTTTCGTGTAACGCCCTGCAGGTGGACGCAAGATGGAGGATGGCAAACCTGCGTACAGAGCAGTGAATTCGGGTGGATGCAGATTGCTAGGCCTGTGATGAAGTTGTATACAGAAGCTACAGATGGGTCTTCCATTGAGACCAAGGAAAGTGCTCTGGTCTGGCAATACCGGGATTCAGACCCTCGATTTGGATCAGCTCAGGCGAAGGAGCTGCTCGACCATCTGGAGAGTGTCTTGGCCAATGAACCTGTCGCTGTAAAGAGTGGTCAGTTCATTGTAGAAGTGAAGCCTCAGGTACATGCTTCTTCCACATTTACCTATATATGCTTCTGTAATTGCTAAACAAGTTGGTTGGTTGAATTATGATACAGGAAGTCAGCAAGGGGATAGTTGCAGATAAAATTTTCACGGCTCTGTCGGGAAAGGGGAAAAAGGCTGACTTCGTTCTGTGCATTGGAGACGATAGATCAGATGAAGACATGTTTGAAGCAATTGGGAATGCACTGGCAGGGAAAGTTCTCGCCTCAAATGCCTCAGTTTTTGCTTGCACGGTTGAACAGAAACCCAGCAAAGCCAAATACTATCTGGATGACATAGCTGAAGTTGTTAGCACCCTTGAATCTCTTGCTGATGTCTCCACTACTCTCCAGTAGACACACCCACCCACCATTTTCCTCTCATCCCGAGAACCACACTGGGACTTCATAGCAAAGCTTTGTGGGACGGAATTTTTACTCTTTCTGAGTTTTGTCAGGTTACTTCTGAACTAGAATGAATTAGCATTTGAAGATAGTAGATAGAGAGAGAGAGGGAGAGAGATCTCTTGGCATTGTTACCCCCTTTTTCTGTTTTCCTTTCTTACGTTCATTTAGCAGTTTGTGTCGATTCTTCTTTTCCCAGAAGAGATTTTCAGAAAGAATTACGTGTATAGTTGGACAATTCATAACCTTAAGATGATATTTATTTTTATCCCCTTTTCTGAAGTGTTTCATTGTTTTTTTCTAGGAAACTCGATGATTTTGCCACCTTTTATGTTATGTTAGTTCCTGTATTTTATATTTTAGAGCGTAGGATGAAAGAAATCGATTAAGAGTCAATTTGTAAGAAATTTAAACTCAAGGGGAGTCAGAGATTGAAGCCAAGAAGTGAATGTGAGGTCTAGAGTTGTAACAATTGCCTTCTATCTTATAGCTAAAGGGAATCTATAAAACAAAAAATGGTATTTTTCAAGTCCATAATGAATCCAAAACCCTCATATATCCATGGTTTTACAAAACCTTCATTTTTCAAATTTACCTTTATTGCCCTCATTGGTATGATAAGATAATGAAATTAGGAGGGGTAGTTTGGTATTAAATGATGGATTTCAAAGTCCATGATCAATTCCCACCTAAATAGGCGGAACTTTTAAGTCCGTGGGGTCCATGGATTTGGATCCTTAAAGTTTGTGGGACCTACGGATTTGTTGCCCTAAATGCATCAAACAAACAATAGATTTTGGACAAAATTCATGATGGATCCAAATCACTCACCAAATCCATCAAGCAAACAAGTCCTAAGCAAACAAGTCCTAAGGGAATTTGATATCAAAATGAATTTTCTCGCTCAAGAAATTAATTCTCTAGTAGATTAATCTCATACCCGAAATCCCAAATACATCTCCAGAAGAAAAAACGAATTTTCAGCCGATAGATTAATCTAGAATGGAGATTATAAATGGGCTCGGAGTACATGGTACATTGTTTTCATTTCACCGAAACACCCCATTTAGTATTAAACCGCCAGGCCCATTTGTCTTTGGCATGGTCATTGCCTATAGGAATTCTGGAAATAGCATCAACTTCTTACGGTGAGTAGTGTTGTCAAATTACACGATTACTGTAATCAATAATCATATATCTAGTAGTGTCAATTCCACACCCTCCTCTTTAAAAGTACAAAAAAAAACCATTTCTCCTCGTGGGGTTATTAGAAAAAAAAAAAGAATCAGGACTACTTCCTCACCAGTAATCACCACAAGAACATTTTCCATTCCTGAAATGGTGGAATCTACTACCATCCCTAACAACGATTTCACTGTTTCTAACCTCCGATATGCATCTGAAGGCAGCATGGCAATCTCCACAGATTCTCAAGTTCTTCATAATCCTTATCGGCATCCCAGGTGGAGTATGCATGAGAGCAAACGCAACTGCTAACTTCTCACTGTGGTGGGTCAAATTGTATTCTTTCTCCTCCACACCCATATCATGCAAAACAGAGGCTGTATCAGGCACATACCCTTTCTTCTTCTTTATCTCTGCAATCAGCTCTTTCAAGTACGACTCAATCTTCTCATATTCCGGATGGTACTTGTCGGACATACAGAACTGGTGAACCTGGTTTTTTATTTCCAACCAGCTCACACCAGGTTCCTTCTTCACGTTCTTATCCCTCATCGCCTTCCAAACTTCAGAAACATCCTTCCATCTCCCAGCAGAGGCATGAGCATTCGCGAGCAACACATATGATGATGAATCCTGCGGTTGAAGCCTCAGGACTTCTTCAGCAATCCGTTGGGCCATGTCAGCTTCCTTATTGATTTTACAGGCAGATAACAGTGTTTTCCAGATGGCAGCATCTGGTTTGACACGCATTGACCTTATCATGTCCTCAGCTTCACTCAGACACCCCGACCTACCTAGCAGATCAACCATACAAGTGTAGTGTTGCACGCTAGGTTTCAGGCCACATTGCTTTTCCATCATCTCAAATAATTCCATCCCCTTTTTCCTCAATCCACAATGGCTACACGCATAAAGCAAGCTCAAGAATGTCACTTCGTTTGCCTCCAAACCTCTACCTTGCATCTCTTCAAACAAATGTATGGCTTCCTCTCCTTGCCCGTGGAAGGCATACGCAGCAATCATCGAGCTCCACAACACATCATCCCCATTTTCGTGTTCGGAGAAAACTTTCAAAGAAGCTTCCAAACACCCGCACTTGGAATACATGCCGATCAATGAACTACTCACTGCAACATCAGAACAGGCACCAGATTTCAATGCTTCGGCATGAATCTGCTGACCCTGACCAAGAATTGCAATCTCAGAGCATGAACTGATTACACTAACAAAAGTGATCTTATCAGGTCTAGAACCTGACATTTTCATCATCTTGTAAAGTTGCAAGACTCCTTCTGAATAGCCATTTTGAGCTTTCCCAGCAATAAGAGTATTCCAAGCAACAACTGTGAGAATTGGCATGGCTTTGATTACCTTTTCTCCTTCATCCAAGCTTTTAGTTCTCATGTACATATGTGCCAAAGAGCTACAGACAACCAAGTTAAACTCAAACCCGCATTTCATCACATAACCATGAACCTGCCTCCCAGCATACAAAGCTCTCAACCCAGCACAGCCTCTGAGCACGCTAGCCAAAGCAAACTCGTCAGGCATGAAGCACGACTGGTGCATTTCCCGAAAGAAGGACAACCCATCTTCATTGCACTCGAACTGGATAGACCCAGTTACCATAGCATTCCAAGTGGCAATATTTTTCTCAGGCATTTCGTCAAACACCTTACGGGCATTCGTCAAATCACCAACGTGCACATATCCATTAATCAAAATGTTACCAGACATGACGTTCCTCCTGGCCAGGGCGTTGAACCAGGACAGTGCTGCTTGTAAGTCTCCAAGTTTGGAGTACAAATTGAGAAGGTGATTGGCGACAAACTTTTCTCGTCGATACCCAGAAGTGAGGACCAATGAATGAAGCTGGTTCCCAAGGAGCAGAGACTTGGCCTGAATGCATGAGAGAATGAGGTGAGAAAAGAGAGTTGGGTCTTTCCAAATCTCCGAATTAAATCTATGGAAAGCTTCTTTGATTTGTCCTCCATAGCAGAGGCTCGTGAATTCTTGAAGCGGAATCGGCGGGGGAGGCTTTGCCGGGTTTACAGTGGAAAAACTTTGGCGGAAGAAACGGAGATACGGAGATACGGGGCCGACCCATGCCATTAGTGACGCATTCCGTATAACCTTCTCTACATGTAGGCGGGTTAATAACCAAGTTTGTCAAAACGGTTCAACCGCTGACCAGGATAGCCAAGTGGTTTATGATTTAATGGATGGATCTTGTTTAAACTTTTTTTTTTCATAGATAGGTGTATGTCATCGGTTCGGTAGATGTACAATGCAGTATGCTTACAAATAAGTAGTAAAAAAATAAACTAATGCGGCAATCGATAGTTAATCAATCCGCCAATAAAAGAGTCTTTTTAGCCACTTAAAGGACAGCCCTATCAGTATTCTAAGAAATGCAACAAATGATATAAGCGGGTACACAACACGCGCCAAAGCCAGAGGATATATAATCTACTGACGGACACTCCATTAGCAGCTTCACCAAGTGAGCCCCCGGATCCGCCAGTGAAATAGTCAACGCAGTAAAACGTCTTGTTCTACATTCCGAAGCCCAACAGCCCACTAAATAGAGTATAAACTTCTAATGTCCTCTTGCCGAAGGACGTATCAGCAGCTTCGCTGCAAAATAGAAGAAAAAAAAACCAAAGGGCCCAGCCAGGCCTACCCAAATAACTAGGAAGACAAGCCCAAAATGGCTAAGGAGCCGGAAGCTGTCCAGATTCCTAGAGAGGCAAAGATTTTATCAACTATTATAACATATAATTTTGAACGGAAGCGAACTGTAGCTAAGGAAGAGATTCTCCCCTGCGGACGCGACTAGGTGAGTTCTTCTCTATTTTGTCTGCTTGTATTCAATATGAAAGGGACGCACACTATGCTTGGGTCTTCTTCACTATTTTATCTTCTTGTATTCAATATGAAAGGGACGTACACTATGCTTGGGTCTTCTTCACTATTTTATCTTCTTACAATATGAATGGGTATCATCACATAGCTCTCCATTTCCATTCCTATAAAATCGTTCATATCTTTCGTTCTTTTTTTTTCTACTTGTTTCTTCTACAGTTGCATAATTGTTCATGGGATGGTCATTTCATGGAATTCATTGTTATTATCCCCAACCATTTCATGTGGTTTATCAGGAGCTGTAGCCTTCCTTTTTGAGTCATGACGCGACTGGTTGGGTAGGTTGAGGCTGTTGCTGTTGCTGTGGAGCTGATGCACACAATACTGTTGCTGCCATTTTTTTCACCGCCACCGCCAGGTTTACCGAAAGACAATGTTGTTGATGAATTGTTGGTGTCGTCTGTGGCAACAGCCACCACGATGGTGATTGGGCTGGGGGAGGTGGATGCGCGAGCGACGAAAGCGGCGGAGGTGTTGGCCGTGGTGACGCACTAGCATGAAGGGCACATGGTGACGGTGGTAGCATGGAGCTGCATGTAGAAAGGCTGAGGCACGTCTCGACGTGACCGGTACCTGACGACGGAGTTTAGCTGGTCGGAGTGCTTCATCACCAGGTCCTCGTTGACCACTCTTCTACAGATTGGCGAAGAGTTCGCTTTCTTCGCCGAACTCGCGCAATTTTGTTGCCTGTTTATTCATTGCCAAATAAAGTCCACTGTATCATTCAAAAAATATGCTCATACTTCTTGTGCTATGGTGAATGTACATGAAAGTTGTTGTCACTTTCGATTACCTAAATCAAGATTCAGCCACAAACTAAATATTACAGTAGCTGGATAAATATGCTAAATATTCTGGGTACTTACTCAAATCAAATTTTTAGCCAGCTACTTAGAACCTGCATGAATCGCGATCAACATCCAATTCATTGTTCAAAAAAACTCAGAAACGCTTTGGCTAAAATTTGCATGCAAAAGAGAACAACAAATCGAACTTAGAGCAAAGAATCATACGGACAATTTCCAATTTCCAACCGCCACCGATCTCCTTCCAGGGAAGCTTGAATCTAAAGGAACACCCAGGCACAGAGCGTCGACGATGGATTGTGACCCTGTGATATTTGGAGGTAGCGACCGAAGCGAAAATCAACTAAGAAATTGATTCGGATAAGAACAA